CCGGTTCAGAGTGATAGCGAGTGGACCAACATCACAAAAATAAAAATTAAAAAATTGCAAGGTCAGCATTTCGTTACCTTCAATGTACAAGTTCTATCTGCTCAGTACCTACTTTTGATAAATTTGACGTGAAAAATGTTGAGGTTCACAACATAACCAAGCTTTTATTTTTCGAATGCAATTCTTGGAATATCTTGATAACGACTCCGAATAATCTTACGATTTTAATAGAGCAGCTAGAATTCTAGTACATTTGGTTTCTGATTTTATGGTCTTAGTAACTCAAAACGACCAAAAATGTTAGACGCACCTTTGCAATGCTAAGATAACGATTTGTGCGCAAAGTTACAGATGGGATGGGCCTGTGATCTTGCTTTTGTGAACATTTTCAAATCTTTAAATTCTAGTTTTGAGCGAAGTCGAGCATCTAGTTTCGAGTTGCATCAACTCGACTATCATTAGTAGTCGTCAGTTCTGAAGCAACTCAAAAACAGAAGTCCAAATTTTAATGTTAACCCTTTACCTTGAGCAGAGGATCAGCTAACTTTGTTAAAAGTGGACCAACTAGCTGAGAGAATGCCGAGAACGGGCTGGATAACAAATTTATTCAATTGGCTAAGATACACTGATGTGTGAAATGTAAAAAACGTCACATTTAAGTCAAGCAAGAGTGTGAGAGTTGTAAGGTCAGTGAGCTGGAAGTTATGAAGTCTTTAATACCACGTTTAAGGTCACTGTAGAGTTCGGTTAAAAGTTGTCTAAGGAGAGCAGTAAACAAAACCAGACGGGACATGGTCAGAAACAACAGGATCGGAGAAATGGTGGGAACAACACCTGTCCCTCACTACATCCGAAGGCAAATAATCAGGTGGTTTGGACATCTCACACGCATGGCACCTAACCAGCTCGACAGTAAAGCCTACTACAGGAAAGTATCAAGGTACAAGGCAAGCGGAAGACCAAGAAAGACCTGGATCCAGGGTGTGTGAAGGATACTCTGAGAACATTCAATATCCCCCCCCCCAAAAAAAAAACCAACTTGCTAGAGACAGGAAGCTCTTTCTCTCCTCGACGCCCTAGAAGTACAAGAGGACGGATAAAGTAAAATAAGTAAATTAAGTAGAGTTCGGTGACGTTTTGAATTGATCATTTTATGACCGAGTACTGAGCAGGCTACAAACAAAAGTATCTACTGTTTCCCCCCAATATCGTGGCATGGCGACAGGCCAAAAGAACTGACCTAGCGAGAAAAAAAATCACAGGTGGATAATACGACTCGTAGGTTTATGTTTATGGCTTTAGTTTTAGTAGAGGTTTTACGGCGCTCCCAACTGCATAAGGTCATATGAGCGCCAGAAGATTAGAGGTGTTACAAGAGAGTAACAAACATAAAAAAGAAGAAGGGGAGATAAAGACGATAGATGTTACACAAGAAAGAAGAAGTAAACCACACCAGAGCACCCGCCAACCACCCACTATGTTTTTGGCTGTGTCCGAGTGTGTGAGTGTGTAGGCGTATGCCTGTGTCAGAGAGAGTGTGTGTCTGAGTGAGTTTGTATGTACAAGTTCAAATGCAAGTACAATTTTGCATACGTACGTGTGTATGTCTTTTGCGGATGGTTTGGGGTTGTTGTTCTTGCTGTTGTTGTTGATGTTGATGTGTTTGTTGTTTATGTTTTGTTTTTCTTTAATCTGCATGTGTACCCATGTGTGTGTCTATGTCTGCAAGACTGAGAGAGAAAGAGAAAAAGAGAGAGAGAAAGAGAGAGAGAGGGAGAGAGAGAGAGAGAGAGAGAGAGAGAGAGAGAGAG